CAAAAATCTAGTTGGTCTAATAAAATATATCGCCTCTACCACAGGTTTTGATTCCTTCTATATTCTATTGCATTTATCTATAATTAAACTACAATGCACCACAGGGTAGTGACTGCCTTTTATTTTGTACTTATATAACACTAAGCACAATGAATACCCGGAGAGGAGATGGCTGCCACCAGGTCACTTTGCCTGGAGAATCACCAATGATACACAGCATCTAAGGTGCTCCAATGGTCACAGTGGCCTCAGGACTGGCTTGACTTGACTTGAAGCACAATGAAACTTCATTAAGGACTGAGATGCATAATGTTACTCCTAGTCATTACTTTGATTCTAAATTGATCGTGTTTTGGTTTTGAGAATAATGCCAGTAACAGCCCAAGTGCTCATATGATGCCCTTAGATTGACCTTAATTTGACTGTTAGAAGCCTGTACTTAAGAACAAATTACCAGTTGGATCTGTTCTCTGATGTATTTAAGCATCTGCATGGTCTGATAGGTGCCACATAAAGTATACATTTCTATCTCCTTTATGCCAGGAGCTGATATATATTTTTTACTTATTAGTGACAAAAGTGCTGGCACAACTAGGCAGCAGGATCAAAATTTACTTTGTGTTAGAGTGAAATTTCAATGTGAGAGTCTGTGTGAGAGTAGGAATAAGTAATCAAATTGTCTAAATAAGAGGTTGGCAACATTTTTGGGCAGAGTGCCAAAAACACTCACAACCTCAACTTGTAAGACGTTGGTGTGCCAAGGTGGACAACAGGGGAGCCACAAGGGGCCCGATACTTGTTGTGGCAGTGCAGCCTTGGCTCCTTCCACACTGTCTGCTTCAAGATGTGCATGCACCCGCTGCCAGAAATGAACCAGGCCAGGGCTCTGCAGCCCCTGGTGCAGCCACTTGCAGCCTCCCAGCTTCCTGCCACAGCTGGTCTGGGCTCTGGGCAGGGCTGCTCACAGCAGGCAGTGGGGATGCTGCAAGCAGCTACACCAGAGTCCATAGAGCCGTGGCTCAGCTCAAGGTGGATGGTGGGGAAGGGGCCAGGGTTGCACTGCCACAACAAAGATAAGGCCCCTGGTGACTCCTCCACTGCCCACCCTGAGACATGCTTGCCAAGCAAAATGCCTTCACGTGCTGCAGTCTGGCATATGTACTGGGGGTTGCCTACCCCTGGTCTAGATCTACTCTAGAACTCTGGTACAAAGAGGGCGGATCTATACAAGATGCTATGTCACTGTAGTGACAAGATACTGCAATGTAACTCATTGCTATGGCGATTTAGTGTCAGTGGGCACTAATTGTGATGCCACAGCTACTGCACAGTAGCAACCAGCTACTGTGCAGTAGGGTTGGAGACAACCCAAGCACCGCCAGGACTGCAAAGTACCAACTCTGTAGACGTGCCCAGAAGCAAATTGTGGAGGCATTCCTCAGGTAGGTCAGGGGTTGCTTAAACATATAGTGTCTCTCACAGATGGGACAGGAGTCCACAATCTAACAAAAGGTGTAGAAAATGGTAGAGATTAAATGTTCCTAATGGGGTAGATTGTGGATACCTTCTTCACAATGCTGAGTGATCAGTCATGTGATTAGTTCAGTTGCAATCAGTAAATAAGGAGTTCACATTCTGGCCCACTAGATTCAAAAGATTTCATAGACATTAGGGCTGGAAGGGACCTTGGAAGATCATCGAGTCCAGCCCCCTGCCCGAGGGGCAGGAAGTCAGCTGGGGTCATAGGATCCCAGCAAGATAAGCATCCAAATTTCTCTTAAAGGCGTTCAATGTAGGTGCTTGAACCACCTCTGGTGGCAGGCTATTCCAGACCTTGGGGGCTTGGACAGTGAAGAAATTTTTCCTTATATCCAGCCTGAAACAGTCTTGTTGGAGTTTATAACCGTTCAACCTTGCCATCCCTTGGGGTGCTCTGGTGAACAATCATTCCCCCAGATCCTGGTGAACACCCCTGAAAAACTTATAGGTGGCCATCAGATCACCCTGGAGCCTGCGCTTTTCCAGGCTAGAGTGTCCCATAGCTCTCAGCCTGCCAAACCTATAAGGATGCTGCAGGTTTTTCCTCCCAAGGTGGAGAACCTTTTATTTTTTGGTGTTAAACACCATCAGGTTCTCATCTGCCCATTTCTTGAGCCTGTCAAGGTCAGCCTGGATTGCCCTCCTGTCCTCAGGTGTGGATGCTTTACCCCAGAGTTTGGTATCATCGGCAAACTTGGCCAGTCCGCTTCTGACTTCTTCATTAATGATGTGGACATGGATGTTGAACAATATAGGTCCAAGGACAGAGCCTTGGGGACCCCACTGGTCACAGCGCACCATGACGATTGACTTTTGTCAACCACCACCCTCTGGGTCCAACCATGGAGCCAATTCCCCAGCCAGCAGATCGTGATGGACCCGAGGCCACAGTTGACCAGTTTTGCAATGTAAGATAGCAAAATAGTTTGGGCTTCTGATGAGATAATCTCCTCCCATGTTCTTTTGTTAAAAAATATATATATATGGTAATATCGTAATGTGAAAAAATGTGCCAAGCTTTGTAATTTTAATTCCTCCCATTTTTTAAACAAGAATTCATAGTGCCAACCACTGTAATAAAAATCATACATCTCATTTTTAGCTTTAGTTAGTTCTGTAACATGAGGGCTTTGGGAATTCCTTCATATTTTTGGAAGAAAGCCACAGCATGCAAACCTACAAACTCATGCTGTATTAAAGATTTTGGAATGCAGTGAGTCAATCTGCTGTTTATATTGTATTCTGCCAGTTCAGATTGTTTGCTAAGAACCAACGCTTCTTTTGTCTGGCATCAAACTGTTCTGTATTGTTTCAGTTTTTATGTAGTCATTTGAGGCCAGATTCTGATACATGCATTCACATTGAACATTGTCTTAGGCCAAAATTTTCAGGGGTAATAACTGGTAGTTACCTAATTCCCACTGATTTAATCTTTTACCTGTAAAAAAATCTGGCTGTTACCCACAGGCAGGAATAGGATTATTTATGGAGTAATCTATTAGTAATAAATGAGTATAAGTAATAAAGGTTAAGACTTCTGTTAGGGGTTGGAGAACTATTTTTCCTTATATTAGAAAAAAATAGCTGATTCCACTTAGGAGAGAGAAGGGTGAGTAAGTGATCTGTTCCATGTGAATGAAAGTAGTTTAAATCTTATGTGTATTTATCAGCTGTGGATGACAAAAGTTTATGATAGCAGATGATTACAAAGCTGAGCTATTGTAACAGTACAGAGTTAGGCACGTTTCACAGTTGCATGCTCTGACAGGAATGAATGGTGGTAGAGTTAGCTGAGCCAAAGGTGTTTGAGCCAAAGTCAACAGATTTCTTGAGGCCATGGGATTATTTGATTTAAAGCAATTTTTTTACTTGCTTCTATACAAAGGTAATAACATGTTAAGCTGTTTAGGAATACTGATCTTGAAGGGGCCCCTGGATTTTTTTATTTTTTAACAGAACAGTACTCAGAGTATTGACTTCTCAAAGCATTCTTCCTCCATACTGTGCTTTTAATATGTTTGGTGGGCAAAGGCTGTGGGTGTCAGAGAGGAATGATGGAATTTCCCAATTCAAACGTAAGGGGCAGGTCATTTCTCTTTTCTTTCCTTGATTAAGGACATTGGATAGTGTGTGCATTTCCTTCATCCTGAGGTAGGAAAAACATCAAAAGAGATACTGGACTGAACTCTGTTTTCTAGTGTAGATATAGAGTAATTCTACTGATTTCACTGGACCTACTCCAGATTTTAACTGAGAGCAGAATTTGACTTACTCTCTCTTCAGCATTCTAATGTTATAAAATTCTAAGTCTGTCTGTCTGTCTGTAACACTTTATTCGCACTCTGATTGGCTGACAGAAACAGCCAGTCAGAGTGCTCCAAGCGTGGGGAAGAGCCGCCAGCATTCCGAAGTTAGGACCGGACAGAGGGTGGGGGAACCAAGGCCAGCAGTGCGGCTGGCCTCGGCTCTCCCACCCCGCTTCCTGCAAGAGGCAGAACAGCTGCAGCATGGGGTGTTAGGTGGTGGCACTACATCCCAGCCCCCTCCCTCCCTGCCCCCTGTCATTCTTGACGGGCAATTGGCTAGTTTTAATATAATTCCTTCTAAGCCACTATTCTTTCTCTAGTGTTGGTACGATCAACCTTTACCTCTACCTCTGGCCCACAAGTCAAAAGCAGCCTACGAAGCCATCACATTTGGCCTGTAGGGCTCCCCACAGGTCAGGAAATTTGGCAGCAGGGGATCAGTGGCCATTAATAAGGCCACTTCCCCCCCCCCATTTCCAAACCCAAACCCTGTATGTGGGTTGGAGCCCAACCATGCCCCCTTCCCACCCCCTCACAGCTGGATTGGAGTCAGGCCACACCCCCTCCTCTCCTCCCTGCACCTGGATCAGGGCCAGGCCATGCCCCCTCCTCCTCATGGCTGGATCAGGGTTGGGCCACACCACCTCCCCCCATCAAAGTGCCAGGTCAAGCTCCCTTCCCCTGTGGACCATTTTGGGCTGGTCTTCTAGCTCTGCTCCCCTCTGCACAGCTGGATGGGGCCTGCCCATCTGCCCCAGGCTGTGGATCAGACCACTGGCTGGATCTGGCCCGCAGACCTACTGGGCACCACCCATCTGGCGTGTTTAACCATAACAAACCTAAAAACCAAAAGAAATGTCAAGTGCGAGTGCATCTTACACCAAGTGTTATTGCATCTCATGGCATCAATGAGGAGGCTGTTCTTAACTAGCTTGCTGCAAAATGTATACCTTTCACCTGCTTATAAGCTTCTGGCTTCATTTAGGCAATACGGATGGAAGACTGAAGAACTGCAGTTTTGTCTGCCTGATAAGCTGGTTTGTGCTACAGACAGGGTGGCCCATTAAAAAGTTACTTTTCCTAATCAAGTAGAAACTCTTTTAAGATCCCAGCAAGTCTATGCTTTTAATTCCTGGGATGGTTGTGTGAGTTTTGTATTGATTGTTTTTTTTATTGATGTCTTAAGTGAGCTTTACAGTTACATCATCTGCATGTTGCAAGACTTTTAAATACTATGGGCCATTGAACAAAACATGGTTTTGGCAACTGTGGGTCTGGTGACAGCAGGAGAGTGGGCATGAGGAGGCGGTGTGTGTGAAGGATTAGACATTTGCTTTCCAGAAATCCAGGTTCTGATCCATCTCTCTGTTCTTGAATCCAGGGACAGGGACTGTGGTGAACCCCAAGTGAGTGTCTAGCATCTGCTCCTTCCAGCACCCCTGCAAACTGAAAGAGAGCACAGGAGAAAGAGGAGTGAAGCTGGGATTAGAATTTGGCTCTTGCACTGCTTTATTAAATTGTGGGAAAAGGATAGAATTCCCAGCCAACTAGAAGAGAAAGTACTGAAAGGTCAAACAGTAAACACCTAGTCCGCTTCAAAGCATAGAAAGCATTCGTGTCAGGGAAACCCTGTTCTCCTAAAAAACACGGGTAATGACAGACGCCTCTACCTCTTGGTCCTCTTCCGGTGCCTATGCATGATTCATCTGGCAAAGTTTCCCATATACCTCTGAATAACTATCTGTAACATTATTTTCATTAGTTCATATAGTTACAACATATTCCAGTTCAAGGTTGACCCCAGTATTTCCGTGATTCTGGCTTTTCCATCTGATGTGGTTTTAGAGAATACTAGTAAATCCTTGAAGAAATCTTCTCTTTCTAACCATTGCTCATGGATATTTTCCAGGCAGAATGGCAAAATGTGCTCTAAATTTCCTCTTCCTGCTTTGCATTAAGGATTTATTGATTGATCCTTCTAGGTTTACCTTTCATTTGAAGTATAGTATTAGGGCAAGTCCAGACTACAGATGATCAAGATTTCTCTCTGAATTATCCTCTAATATTCCTGTCTATATTAATAATGACCAGTTCAGCACCACTCATTTGCGGTAGTTGTGGGTAGCTAAGAAGATGTTAAACATCTCATGCAGAGAGAATGGCTGGAACTTTATTTCAGCCTCATTAGGTTGGTTATACATGTACTTTCCCATTCTGATTTTGTCCATTTAAGTTCCACTGAAAAGGGAGTATCAGCTTTCCAGAAGAGAAGGAACATTGGCTACACTCTGAGCAACAGCTGAAAGCTATCATTTTTAGTCTCAAAATTTTTCTGACATTGGACACTTTCCCTGGAAGACAAATTTTCACTATGAAATAGTTCCATGCTGCTTCATACAGAAAATGAAATGATTAAAGCAGGAGTTATTCCCAGTTTACAATCACTTCCTAAAAACGGTAATAATAATTGACCTCATTTTAGTCTCTCTATAAATTGTATTTGAAATATTATATGTTTAATCCAAGCATGAGTTTTACTAAACCCAGCACATATTCTCCAGGAGAGAAAGTCTCAACAGTTTTAGTAAACCTGAAGTGTGACTAGGTCATGAGTGTTAGCACATTTGAATAAAATAAAGCAATAGTAAGAAGCACCATGTTTTTCTACTTGTTATTAATATGAAAACATTGTTTTAATGTAAAAATATTGCTACTTTGCTATTTGCCCTTTGCAGTCTGCTCTTTGGTGAGAGAAGCAGCAAGGTGCTGGGAAGGGATGGCCTCCACCTCTCTCTGCTGTGGAGGAGGCTCTTCTCAGCCAGACTGACTGACCTGCTCCACCAGGGTTTAAGCTAAGCCCACCGGGAGACGGGGGGACTACC